CACATCCCACCAAACATTTTACAATTGAGTTCTATGCCTCAAACTTTGCCATAGGTGCAGTATTATCTTAACATATGGGCACCCACAACCAAGTACACTCCTGCACTTTCTATTCTCAGAAGCTAACCCTAGTGGGGAAAAATTACATTATTCGTGACAAGGAGTCACTGACTATCAAGGCAGATTTTGAGGGTGGTGCTTCTTCTAGGAGGAATCCAATTCCTGGTCCAAGTCCTGATAGAGCACAAGAACCTGAAGAGCCTACGGACTGCTAGCTGCCTTAACCAATTCCAGATCCACTGGTCCCTCTTCTTTGATTGCTTCAATTTTGTGGTAATCTATTGCCCAAAGACAAGAAATGGGAAGGTGGCTGCCTTTTCCTGGGGAAAAAAATGACTATCATGAACCTGGCAAAAATCCCTCTACCACCATGCTCAAGGTTTACAACTTTGTCAATGGGACAATAGACAGCAGTCTGAGTGATATCCTCCATCCATCCCCGGCTCTCCAATGATCTGTTTGCTACCCAAACCCACCAGATCCTGACTGATGTGGGTACCTGACCAAGCTCTAAATTCTGACCATAGAATGGCTTCCTCTATCACAAGGGTTCTATTCAAGTTCCAGCAACAGCCTAGGCTTCAGGAATTGAAACTATGCCACAATTCACTGCTTCAGGGCCATTTTGACCAATTCAAGATCTCTGTAGCCTTGGTCTATTATATAAATGGACTTCATCATAGAACTGCCAAGCTCCCAGGGAAAACTCGGTAATCCTGGATGTTGTTGACCTCCTAACAAAGATGGTGCACTTCATCCCATTTGGTATTGTTCCTACTGCACAGGAGATGGCATGGCTCTTCCTGAAAAATGTCTTCTGCTACCATGGATTAACAGTGGGCATTACATCGGATCAGGGACCCAATGCATCTCCCAAATCTGGTGTGAATTTCTAGACTCCTTGGCATCGAGTTCCTCACCTCATCCACCTATCTCCCCCAGACTAATGTGCAAACAGAGAGGGTCAATCAAATCTTGGAGCAGTAGTTTTGCTGCCTTTTGAATTACCCCCAGGATGAATGGCACCCCCTGCTGTGCTATGCTGAGTTTGCATATAACAATGCAAGCCACACCTCAACCCAACATAGCCCATTTTTTACAAGCCATGGCTTTCACTCCCGCTGCCACCCAGACTTGCCTATGAGTTCCCCAGCATCAGCTCCTGCAAATTTAACCTCCTAGTTACACTGGGTGCAACAGGAGCTCAAGAAACATTTGCAGTCCTCCAAAGATGCCTATAAACACCATTCAGACCAACACTGTCAGGCTCTTCCTAGTCTGGCCATACGGGACAAGATGTGGTTCTCTGCCCACAACCTTAAATAGAGCTATCCATCCATCAAAGTAGACTACCAATACCTGGGCCTCTTCAGGAATATAGAATGGGTGAACTCACTACCTTTCCAGTTACAGCTGCCTGAGTCCTTGAAGATTCACCCCATCTTTCACATCTCACTTTGAAAGCCCCAGACCAAGAACCAGACCCTATTTGCTCCAACTCACCACCACCACCCATAACAGTCCAGGGACAGGAGGAATACTTGGTCCACTGAATCCTCAATTCTCAGCAAGTTAGGGGAAGGCTCCAGTACCTGGTGGACTGGAAGAGCTACAGTCCAGACGTGTGGTCTTGGGACCCAGTAGGGAACATCCATACCCAGGATCTATTGCGAGAGCTCCATGGGAAGTACCCCAAGAAACTGGACCATGAGGCCCTTATGAGTTGCCATCAGGGCAGGGTCTACTGTCAGGAACCAGGGCCTGCCAGTTTCTGGGCAACCTAACCAGTTCAGCTGGCCTGTAGTAAGCTGCCTGATTGGCTACACTGCCTGATTTGCTTGGAAGAGTCAGCAGACCAGCTCTTAAGTCCACCAGCAACAGTGGTTCAGTGGCAGCTCAAACCATTATCCCATGGCTGGGCTGTGACAGCTCCTGCACCAGCTTGTTCCCAATCTTGTTCCTGCTTTGTTCTAGGCCTGCTCCTAACTCGGCCCAAAATTTGCCCCTTTCTTGCCTCATTCCAAGTAATCCAGTTCTGACCCTCGGCTCCGATTCCTGACCTCTGACATCAGCTCTAACCCCTGGGTCTGGCATCAAACCTCTGACTCCTATTCTGACCCTGGGCTCTGACTCCTAGGCATGATCACCCATGTCCTGGTCACAGACACTGAGGTGTTTAATGCCTATTTTGGTTCAGTCTTCACTAAAATGTGACTAGATACTCAACACAATTAATATTAACAGCAAGGGGGAAGGAATGCCAGCTAAAATAGGGAAAGAAGAGGTTAAAGTATATTTTGATAAGTTAGATGGAGTTGTCAGAGCCTGATGAAATTCACCCCAGGGCACATAAAGAACTCCCTGAAGCAATCTCAGAACTGTTCATAATTATTTCTGAGAACTCATGGAGGACAGGTGAGGTCCCAGAGTACTGGAGAAGAGCACATTGTACCTATCTTTAAAAAGGGGAACAAAAACAACCCAGGGAATTATAGACCAGTCAGCCTAACTTCAGTCCCTGGAAACACAGTAGAACAGGGGTCTCAAACACGCGGCCCTGGGGCCGCATGCGGCCCGCGGGGTTATTTTCTGCGGCTCCCCCCCCCTCCCCCAGCGTTTACCTAGAGCGGCTCCGGCCCGATGCACACCGGGGCCAGGGCATTCTCCCTGCCTGCCCCTGCCCCGCCCTGCCCCGCCCTGCCCCGCGCCGCTCCGGAAAGCCGACGGAACCTGGGGAAGGAGGGGCGCAAGGGTGTGTGTGGCTGTTGCTTCAGGCACCACCCCCAGCAGCTCCCATTGGCTGCGGTTCCCCGTTCCCGGCGCGGGGGCAGGGCAGGCAGGCAGGCAGGGAGCCTGCCCTGCCCCCGGTGCGCGTTGGGCCGGAGCCCACCCCTCCTGCAGTTGAACCCCCTGCTGCACCCTGCACTCCTCCTGCATCCCAACCCCCTGCCCTGAGCCCCCTGCTGCACCCCGCACTCTGACCCCCTGCCCTGAGCCCCCTGCTGCACCCCGCACCGCTCCTGCACCCCAACCCACCGCCCTGAGCCCCCTGCTGCACCTCTCCTGCACCCTGATCCCCTGCCCTGAGCCCCCTGCTGCACCCCGCACCCCTCCTGCACCCCAACCCCCTGCCCTGAGCCCCCTGCCGCACCCTGCACCCTGCCCCCTGCCGCACCCCTCACCCTTCCTGCACCCCACACCCTAACTCCCTGCCCTGAGCCCACCCCACACCCCTCCTGCACCCCCTGGGGGCAGGGAGGGGGCAGAGTTGGGGCGGGGATTTCAGGGAAGGGGTTGGAATGGGGGCAGGGAAGGGGTGGGAAGAGGCGGGGCAGGGGTGGGGCCTCATGGAAGGGGTGGATCTTGGGCGGGGCCGAGGGGGGAGAGGTGTCAATAAATGTGGCCCTCAGGCCAATGTACTAGTCCTCATGTGGCCCTCGTGGTCATTTGAGTTTGAGACCCCTGCACTAGAACAAATGATTAGAGAGCTCCCCTAAGAGGTGTGGGAGACCCCAGTTCAAGTCCTTTCTCTCCCTCAGACAGAGGGGAAGTGAACCTGGGTCTCTTCATATTGCAGGTGAGTGCTCTAACTATTGGGATGGCACATCCTTCTCTGGCCAGATTTTGTCTGAGACTGGATCTGATGGTTGTCCTCTGAGCAGACCTGCTGGATCAGACCCTGCAGGCGAGATAAGCAGAGGAGCACCTGTCTTCCCCAGGGTCACGGTTCGTGCTAGGTATTGGGCAGGAGATAGGCATGGGGGTGCCTAGTGGGAGGCAACAGTGCACATGGCTAGCCGCAGAAACAGGCACCTAAGGGACTTCGGTGGCTGGGAGCATCTCTGTGGAGCAGCAGGGACAGGGCACCAGATCTGGGCTGTGCTCCCCCGCCTGCTCCTGTTCCCTGTTTTGGAAGGATCGGGGCTGGGGGGAGAGGAACTCATGTGATTCACAAGAATCCAGCCGAGGGAGCCCCACGGACTCCTCCTCTCCGGGCTGCTGGTTACAGCGTAACAGTGATGGGACCCGTCGCTTCCCTCCAGGATCCTCCTCTAGCCCCAGCCCTGAGCCCCCCGGAGCTTTCACCGACACTCAGACCTGGCCATTGCACTCCGGGGGCGGGACGGGGGACGACTTTCTCCGGGGGCGGGAACCAGCCCCGGGCTCTGCAGACAGCAGCTCCGGAGCCTGCAGCTGAGGGAAGAGACCCGGGGGAAGGGCCGGGGCCGGGCAGGAAAGTGACTCTGCACCAACCGCCCCTCCTCGCCCCAGCTCTGCTCCCGGGGGGGCGGGGGTCTGCGAGTCCCAGAGCTGCTGCGCGCCCCCGCCCCACCCCCCGCTTTGCTCCCCTGAGCGCCTGCAGGAGCCGAGCCAGCTGCAGCCCGGCAGTGCCTGAGTCACATTCAGTCCGTTCTGATCCCCCCCCCCCCATTGATCAGCTGTTGCTTCCCGCCCCGTTCCCACTCAGTCACTCCGGATTTCAGCTCCCCCCAGCATCCCTCCCTCCTCCACCTTCCTCATTCTGCCAGGTTTAGAGGGGAAGCCCTGTTAGTCTGCATCAGCAAAAACAAGGGCGAGTCCTTGTGGCACCGTAGACTCAGAGACTAACAAATTTATTTGGGCATGAGCTAAAACCCACCTCATCACGACATTTCTTAGTCTTTAACGTGCCACAAAGACTCTTCATTGTTCTGCCCCATTACTGAGACCCCAGCGATCCCTGGGGAGCAGGAACAGCAGCTGGGGGGGGCATTGACACCCCTACACTGGCTCCCCCGGCAAACTGCCCCTCCCAGCCCCCCCCAGCTCCGGGCCCTGCGGGGGGGCTGTTACTTTAAGAGGAATTTGCTCCGCCCCCACCAGCCGGGGACACAGACCTTGACTTCAACTTCCCGCTACTCTGGTACTTTCAGTTCTGAAGCGCGTGTCAGGCCCAGGCGGGGAGGGGGCTCGGCCCCGTCACTTCAGCTACAAATGTAACAAATGTAACTGGTGCTGCAGCCTCGGTGAGTGACATGGGGACCAGGGCCGGATTTAGGGGCACGTAACCGAGGCGACTGCCTGGGGTGCCAGGCTGGGGGGGCGCGGGGCTTGGGGGCTGTTTTTGTTGTTAGCGATAAAAGGAAAAATCGAATGTTTGAAGTAAAATGTTTCAGGATTTCCTTATGTGGCTCATTTGTCACCAACCTCCTAGAATGTTCTAGAACTTTGTAGAATTTTGTGGAACCTTCCAGACTTTCTGATTCAAAGCTTCTTTCCAGGGTGCAGCAGGGAGGGGAGCTCCGGGCTCTGGATCCCCAGCTGCACGGCTCGGTCTGAGATCTCCGGACACACGGCACTGAGGGCTGTTATCACCAATGGGCCTCACTGAAGGGATTCTCAGGAGAAACTGGCACCTCCTGACTCTGAATGTAAACCTGGCGGTGGGAATGTCCCTGCAAATTCAGAGATTTCTCTGTTCATCTGAACACAGACTGGGACGCTGGCACAGAGCTGGGCTCCCTTTGTGACAGGTGTGTGTGTGTGTATTTGTGTTTCTCTCCCCCCCCCCCCTTTGTTATTAACTCACTAAACTGAAGTTCCGGAGGCAGGGGGCGAAAGACTAGAAGAGAAAACCCTTGGTCCACAATCAGTGAATCCCTCCCAGCTCCACCTGGGTCTGCAGGGCCATTGCCCCGAGGGAGGGCAGGTGCTGTTACCACTGCCGCCCACCCTGTGGGTGCCTGCCAGAGCAGGGAGTGCTTCATCTCCTCCCCCAGGGCTCCCACTGACAGAGCGCTGGGGGGGGAGGGGGAGTTAGTAGGGAAGTCCATGAGTCTGTGACCTGGAGCCCTGGTCACATTCCCTTCCAGTCCAACACTGGGCGCTCTGTGGGCAACACTGGCCCGGGTGGCTGTAGGGGAACTTACAGGCACCTTCTAGTTCCTGGGAGGATTTTACACCACCGCACAGCCTGGCAGGGGTTGCGTGTCTGGGTACAGCGTGAGCCTAAAGCTCTTTGTCTCTAAGGGTACATCTCCACCGCTGCTGGGCGGTGCAATTCCCACCATAAACAGACAGACACATGCTCAAGATAGATTTCAGAATGGTAGCTGTGTTAGTCTGTATCAGCAAAAAGAACAGGAGTACTTGTAGCACCTTAGAGACTAACAAATGTATTTGAGTATAAGCTTTTGTGGGCTAAAGCCCACTTCATCAGATGCATGCAGTGGATGTATGCATGCTTCCTACTGTATTTTCCACTGCGTGCATCTGATGAAGTGGGCTTTAGACCACGAAAGCTTATGCTCAAATACATTTGTTAGTCTCTAAGGTGCCACAAGTACTCCTCGTTCTTTCTGCTCAAGATAGTACAATAAAAACAGCAGTGTAGCATGGGTAGCGGCTTGAGCTAGCTGCCCAAGTACATACCCACTGTGATCCTGGCACGTAACCTGAGCTGCTGCCTGGGCTACCAAAGGTACACTGCCGTGTTCAGTGTGCTAGTTCCAGCAGAGCCAGCACATGTCTGTCTACCCCACGGGGACGCTCGCTCCCAGCTGCAGTGGAGACGGATCCTTAGAGCAGTTTAAATGTTGCAGATCCCAGGGGCACAGAGACGTGGGGACCCTGCTCAGAATTCATTCATGACATAGCGCCAATGCTGGAGGCAATGAGAGTGGGTCACTGACATGCAAAATCATCGAGGCCAGGGACTGATCTGCTTATTGGGAAATCCCCAGAGGTCCCTCACCGAGGACAGGTGTGGTTGGGAGATGGAGCCACTTTTCCCCACAGCAATTAGTGGCCATTCATAGCACATTCAATGGCCCTGCCTGCACTGGCTTGTTTTCCTTAATATGTCCCATTCTACAGGAGTATCTAAATGCCCCAAGCAAGACGGGTGCCTGATTGTTCCGGGCACCGTACACACCAGTAGTGAGGGACCGTCCCCTCTCTTGAGAGTGTATTAAAATCTAAATAAGACCAGACAGCTCCACGGATGTCAGCCATGGTGTGAACGTGGTATGGACCAGTTGCTGGCACAGTGACATCTAACCCTGCTCAGAGCCAGGGCAGACGAGGACTGTGGGGGAAATCCCCTCCCTTCCCGTGTACGTTAGGCAGCAATGAGGCTTGTTACATCCTCTACACTGCCCCATGGTACTGTCCTGTCACTGCGTCACACTCACTTGCCATCTGGTTTGTGATTTCTCCTGTTCCCCAGACCAAGCTACGATGACGGGGAAGGTTCCCTCGTTCTCCCCCGGCTCCACAATGAGCTCCGCTTTGCCCAGCTACGTCGCTCTCTGCCTCGCTCTACAGGTTCACAGGCTGGCGTCAGGTAGGAGCTCCAATCTCCTTGCTGGGTTTGCTGCTGTTGCTGGTCATCACCGTGCATCTCACATCACTGCCTTGTCTTGTAAACCACGTCTGCTCAACCTGCCCACAACCAGCAATGTGGAGAAACCACAGGGCACAGCTGGGTCCCTAGTAACCATGTTTGCTACCTATATGCAATCTTGTCAGGCCTAGCTACACGCACACTGCTGCTCTAACTGGTAGCTTCTAAGATATAGAACATGGTGAGCATCACTATGGGGCTCACAAACTATTTAAAGGGAAACTACCCAATTCCTTTACACTACACTGCCGGACTGTATCAGTCACAGATCAGACTCTTCAGCCCCAAAGAATCATGAATCCCCAACTCTCTGGTTATGAATCGAAAACACACAAGCCATTCGTACTGCATTGGGCACATCTGACTAAGGCTGAGAGGTAAACCTCATGTGTCAGTGAGGATGTGAGGATATTTGCTGTCTTCTTTATTCTGTGCCATTGGTGAAGGCCTTATAGTAGTGGTCCCCAACATGGTGCCCTGGGGCACCATGGCACCCGCCGGGGTATCTATGTGCACCCGCTTAGTCACACGGTGTGAGAAGTAGTGCCCAGCAGGGGAGAGAAGCCACAGCCCCGCACCTGCCGGGGACAGAGAACTCCGGGGCTGCAGGCTGCGGGCGCTGGTGTTCTCTGTCCCCAGCAGGCACGGGGCTGCGTCTTCTCTCTGGCTTCTCTCCACACTGCTCAGAACTGCCAACAAAAGAAAGGAAAAGGGGCTCGGACTGCCACCGCCCAAACTGCCAAAACGCAAAACAAAACAAAAAAACCTGCCCGAACTGCCGAAGCAGGGAAAAAAAAAAAAAACCACTCGGACTCTGCCGCCCCAAGAATGGACAGAATGCTGCCCCTTAGCATGTGCCGCCCCAGGCACGTGCTTTTTTTCTCATGCTTTGTGATTTATTATTTTTTTAACATTTTCCCCCAAAATGAGTGGTTCAAATAAAAGACAACGTACGTATTATTTCAACGCAGAGTGGGAAGAATCCTATTGTTTTATTGAAAACAAAGGGAAATGTCTTTGCTTATTGTGCGGTGATACTGTTGCAGTGCCGAAAAAACATAATGTCGAACGCCATTTCGAAACTAATCATGGCTCTTTTGACATTAGCCATCCACTTAAATCTGAGTTGAAAAAGGTTTGATTTGAGTTGATTCATTTTCTTCTATCTGCCCAACAATCTGTTTTCACTAGACAAGTGGTAAAGTCTAAAAGTGCTACTATTGCTTCCTTTAAAATTGCTCATCTGCTCGCAAAGAAGAAAAAACCCTTTCAAGATGGTGAATTGTTGAAGGAAGCATTTTTGACTGGTGCTGTTTGCCTGTTTGAAGGATTTCCTAACAAGGGTGAGATTTTGTTGGCAATACAAGACTTGCAGTTATCAGACAACACAGTTACGAGGAGGATACATGCAATTTCAAGCGACATGCAAACTCAGCTAAAGGATGACTTGGAAATATGTGACTGGTTTTCACTGCAGTTCGATGAGTCAACAGATATATCGGATACAGCGCAGTTGGCAGTTATGGTGAAGATGATATTTAGTGACTTCACCATAAAAGAAGAGTTACTAAAAGTATTGCCTACGAAAGGGTGAACAAAGGGTGAGGACATCTATAATTTATTCAAATCATACGCAACATCAATTAGTATGCAACTACACAAGCTGTCTGGGATCACCACTGATGGGACACCAGCAATGATGGGCAGCGTCAATGGATTCATTGCACTCTGCAAGAAGAATGAATCCTTTCTGAACTTTATGTCTTATCATTGCATTATCCACCAAGAAGCTTTGTGCGTCAAAGTTCTTTCTTTTCAACACGTCATGAATGTCGTTATTAAAATAATTAACTCTATTCGAGTGAAACCTTTGCAACACCGAGTTTTTAAGGCCCTGTTGGAAGATGTTGATGATAAGCAATCTGATCTTGCACACAGAAGTACGATGGCTGAGCAAAGGTAAAGTTCTTGCACATTTTTTAAGCCTAATTGAAGAGATTAAAGAATTTCTGAAGTCCACAAATCAGAACTTTGAGCAACTAGAAGACTCCAGCTGGTTAATGGACTTGGCTTTTCTTGCTGACATCACTGACAAATTGAACAATTTAAATCTTGAGCTCCAGGGAAAAGACAAACATGTGGCTCAAATGATAGGTTCTGTAAAATCATTCAAAGCAAAACTGATCTTGTGGATGTCACATATGAAGACAAAGTCTCTCGTACATTTCCCAAGTATGAAGAAAATGGTATGTGTCAGTGATTTTAATCCATCACCATTTGTTATCCACATTCAAACACTTCTGGAACAATTTGAAAGGAGATTTCAACAGTTCACCATCATTGAGCCTGTAGTTGCCTTTCTTGTGAATCATTTTACTTGCCAAATAGAGGTAACAGAAATGGCTACATCAATTGCGAGTCTCATTCAAGTAAGAACAGAAGACATGGAACTGGAGATTTTGGACCTTCAAAATGATATTATTCTAAAATCCTGTGCAACAGATGAAAACTTTTGGAATCTGGTTGACCGAAAAAAGTTTCCTGCCTTAAAAAATGTAGCATACAAAATAAAATCTTATTTCGGTTCCACTTATCTATGCGAAGTTCTGTTTTCAACAATGAACATCATAAAATCAAAATACAGATCTCAGCTTACAGATGCCCATCTTGACGATTGCTTACAAACGGGAATATCATCCTACTCTCCCAACTATGAAAAATTGTCTGAAGCAATGCAGTGCCAAAAATCACACTGACTTTATTAGAAAAAACGTGAATTAATGATACTTATTTTCCATTAAGTGCTGATGAGTGCGCATGATTAACTTGTGTTTAACTTTTTTTCATATTTGTTTGTTTGTTTATTGAAATCCAGATACAAGTAACAATACAAAGAATATTTTTTAATTAACCATAACTGGCTATCTATGTTAAAGTAAGAATAATAAATATATTTGGGCCAGCAGTTCAACAATGTTTTATATATAGTACTGAAATATTACTAGCCTCACTTTCTGCTACAGCTAGTCTAAATTTTTCCAAAAAACTGTCCCATCAAAAAATAATTTTACTTTTTAAAAATAAATAAGATGAAAACTGTTTATGATATTTTGTAAAAACTCCTTAATTTTTCTTACAGGTAGATAAAAAAGAGCAAATTCACATGCTAAGGTGAAAGAGTAATTGCCGAATAATTTAATTAATATCTTTTACATGTAAAATTACCTTTTTTATCTTATGGATTCATATATTATGTAATATTAAATATGATGTTTTTCGTATTATTTAATGTACAAATTCAAAATAAGCCTTGAAAAATTATTGGCACCCGCCACACTCTTCTGAAAACATGAATGTGCTATTGGCCACAAAAAGGTTGGGGACCACTACCTTATAGTGATCCACTCCACCCCCGGGGCTACCTGCACAGCTACTCTGGCATTTTGGTTCCCTCCTGCTGTGGTTTCCATCCTCCTAATTTAACCAGCTCTCTCGGTCTCTCCTGATGCTGAGTCTCTGCCCTGAGATGCCCCCTTCCTGTGCAGTTCCACAATGGCTGGTTCTCTGCCCCCTGCTCTTTTTTACCTGCTTCCTCCCCTCTCTCTGTTATCTGAGCTCTAACTTTGCCTGCATAGTGATGAGCTATTTTCATATCTTTACACCTTGCAGACCCTTACACCATCCCTACACTAGTTGCAGAGGCCCCTGCACTTCAGCATCATGAAGGGTCCTTGTGTAGCAGCGAACCAGACCCCCCAATATCCATTATACTCAAGGTGCCCATGAGAAGTCAGAGCCCTAGTCAGAGAAAATATGGACAATGTATAACATTTACTTGTGTACTCTGTGTGACAGATATTGCAACCACACGTGGTATTTTGGGAACTATGAATGTGTCTTTGTATCCCTTTTATAAATAGTATCTATATGTGTTATATCAGCGGTTCTCAAACTATGGGTCGGGACCCCAAAGTGGGTCATGACCCTGTTTTAATGGGTCGCCAGGGCTGGCATTAGACTTCCAGAGGGCCAAAGCCCGAGCCCCACCGCTCGGGTCCAAAGAAGAAGCTCGAGCCCCACTGCCTGGGGCTAAAGCCAAAGCCCAATGGCTTCAGCCCTGAGTGGCGGGGCTCAGGTTACAGGCCCCCCTGACTGGAGCTGAAGCCCTTGGGCTTTCGCTTTGCCCCCCGCCAAGCCAGGATGGTGGGGCTTGGGCTTGGAATTTGGTTCCCCCATTCTGGGGTCGTGTAGTAATTTTTGTTGTCAGAAGCGGGTTGTGGTGCAATGAAGTTTGAGAACCCCTGTGCTATATGTGTCTTTGTGGGCTCAGGATTGTAAACCACTCCATGGGGGAGGGTTACCCCATCTCCTCCAGTATCTACAAGCCATGTGGGGTAATGACTTCTGGGACAGATAACAGCTCGGGAGAAGTACCACCCCCAGGGAAAGTTGCTTAAACTAGTTCAGGACAGGTCCCAGAAGCCCAAGAGAACAAAGATTTTTGGTATAAACCCTCGATTTAAACTGGTTGGAGGTCTGGGATCTTGGACTACAAACTGACGTGACTTCTTAGCCAAAAGAACAAACCCTTAGAGAAGGTTTTGAAAGACTTAGGACCCTACCAATGAGTCCCATGTGCCAAATGAGAATCCTTTGGGATAAGTGTAACATGTTCAGACCTTCAATTGGTTTATGGTAACTTTTCTGTCAGGCTTTTATCCTTCAATGTTCTCTGCTTTGGAAGAGCCGTTTGATTACTGGTAACCATTGGCACACACTATTCATAGCCCTGGGAGTGAAAGCAAAGTTCAGGTGCTGTTCTTTGGTCAGGCGTGCTGGGAAAACCAGTTAATTGAAGGGGGGTGCAAGCCTAAAACCCCAGTGTGGAGGGAGAGGGATGTGGGTTCCTGCCCAGGGAGAGGTGACAGCTGGAGGCCTGAGACCTAAGGGGACGTTCCTTGAGCAGTCCACAGAGGGGGTCAGAGGTGCAGTTACCCCAAGCCTGTGACTGTCTGTACTCATAGTCATGTCTAGGGCACTGCCTGGGTATATGGTGTTCACGTCTAACTCAGGGCATTCTCTTACTGTGTGTCTTACTGCTGAGTTAATGCCACTCCCAGTCCCTCGCCAATTTAACTTCAATTTTTCATTGTGCATTTCACAGCACATTTCACAGTGGCTGGACCTGACCATCCAGTCACTGCCTCTCTAGGTGGGGAGGCCGTCCTGCCCTGCCACCTCTCCCCCAGGATGAGCGCTGAGAACATGGAGCTGAGATGGTTCCGATCCGAGTTCTCTGCAGTCGTGCACCTGTACCGTGATGGGCAGGATCAGTACGGTGAGCAGATGTTAGAATATCGAGGAAGAACTGAGCTCTTGAAAGACGACATCACCAATGGGAGTGTTTCCCTGAGAATACGCGATATCCGACCCTCTGACGATGGGCAGTACAAGTGTCGTTTTCAGTCCACTGTCACTTATGAAGAAGCTTTTTTGGAACTGCAGGTGGCAGGTCAGTGACTTGTTCTGATACTTTGACATCTTCAACAGGGTAATAAGTGGAGTCAGAGGGTTCATTGTGAGATGACACTTGATTTTTCTCATTATGGTGGGGGGTAGCTCTGCTCTGGTTAAGATTGATTCTAGTTCACTGTTTATGGCTATATTTTATGAGGGTTCTAAACTCCATACACATACTCAGATTCTCTTGAAAACTTCTGTGACGCATTGGACTCTGGGGTGTGGTTAGTGAGCTAAATTTGAGGTCATTAGAGCAAGGGGTTAATGAGATACACAAACACCCCTGAAAAGTCAGATGACATTAACATGTTGTGATTACAACTTTTTTGTGCACACCTGGTACCAAACAATAGCTGCTCATCCTCACATTGATGTCACCAGCTGGGATTGATTTTGGCTGGTGTCTGGCATGCACAGGGTAACAGTGCTCGATGCACAGGGTCCAGTAGCCCTGTGCCTTGTGTAAGAGTGGAAGAGTTGAGGAATTCCCTCCAGGACAGGTGAAGGCAGGTGGCCTGATGCCTGAAGGTGCTACCAGACAGACCAGAAGGGGACAGGTGTAGCTAGTTCTGTAACTGTGACATGAGGTTTAGGTCTGGTGAAGCAAACACCAGACTGCTGACAATCCCCATGGCAATAAGACACCTCTGTGCACTTCTACTGTCACAGCCTACAGACCTCAGCACTGAAATGAAGCAAACATGATCCCTCTCCTCATATCACAGTGACAGCTCTTCCAGCCTGCTCGAATTAATCCCTCCACCAGTCACTACGGTGACTGCGAACACGGGGAAGGCAGTGGGAGTGTAGGCAGGTAGATGCTGAAAAACAAATCCAAGAAACACAAAACAAGCAATGGCACCTTCTCATAGCCCTTCCTCATACCTGTTTATTATGGCACCACCCTCACTGAACCGTTCCCAGCCCCTATGCCATCCCAGGAGGCAGAGTTAAGGTTACAGGGCTGGGGTGGTATGTGCTGTTGTTTTGTATCTCTTGGGTTTCAGAAATTTAAGTTTAGCCACCCTCTGTATTTTGGAAAGGCACAAGGCCCTGCTGGGCAACCGCAATTCTTCATTGACAAGTATTTGTTGGGAATTAATATGTAACTATAGAGCTCCTGTGGCCGCGATGGAGTCTGCTCTGCAGAGCGGCTCCTGCCAGGAACAGATGCGCACTGGAGCATAGCAGGGTAACTCCCTTCGAAGCCAGGGCACAGGTGATACATCAGGGAGCATGCGGGGTCACGTGCTCCCCCAGATTTGCTGCCTGGCTTTTACTGAGCATGCCTAGTAATACTGCTGTTAGCCAGCTGCCATCACTCTGCCCCCCCCCCACACACACACACACTGTTGGCAGGCATGAGTCGTCCCTGCCCCAGGGACACCTGTTCGAAATCCTCTGGGGTAAACACACACACACACCGGAATAGTACAATGAATATAGGAAGGGGAAATATTTATTTACAGAGGGATGAAGGTAGAAAAACAACAGGGGGAATATAGGGGTGGTGGTGATTGATAAAACAGGCTGAGATCCAACACAAGGCCCCAGTGGTACCAGAACATAAAAGGGTCGATGCCAAGCACTGCGTCTACTCAGAGTTCAGGAGTCCTGGGCGGAGTTCCAGTGCAGTGCTGAGTCTTGGATGCTCCTGACCGCCTTTGGCGCCATTGAACTTTCCCCAGCAAACCCCTCCGGAGCCCTCTTCTGCCGCTCTCTGCAAAGCCCCACAGAGCAACAACCTCCCCACTTGCCTGGCTACAGCCTCCCTCTTTATTCCCAATGCAAGGTCACAAGCCCCAGTATTCAGGGCCCCATACAGCTCTGGGTGACAGGGATACTGGGTTCAGCTCTGGTTTGTCCTCAGGTCATTCCTTCCTGTCACAATGCTCCTCCTGGCTCTTGTCCTGGGTGTCCCCAGTCAGCTGCTCTGTCCCTCCTGGGCTTTGGACAGGTTCTCAGCTGCTTCTCTTATTGGGAGCTACAGACACACATGCCCTGTCACTCTCCCTCTCTCCACCCTCCTCCCCATAGGTGCTGACTCCATAGGTGTTCCAGGGCTTGAGCACCCATGGAAAAAAATTAGCGGGTGCTTAGCACCCACTGGCAGCCATCTACCCCCTTCCCCCAGCACCTCCCGTCTGCCGGTGGCCCCAGTGATAAATTCCTCCCCCTCCTCCCAGCGCCTACCGCCCACTGCAGTCAGCTGTTCCACGGTGTGCAGGAGGCGCTGGGAGGGAGGCAGAAGAGTGAGGGTTGGGTGTGCTTAGGGGAGGGGGCAGAACTGGGCAGGAAGAGGTGGGGAAGAGGCCGGGCAGGGGCAGGAAGAGGCGGGGTGGTGGTGGGGACTTGGGAGCAGAGGTGGGGTGTGGGCGGTGCCTGGGGCAGAGTGGGAGGTTAAGCACCCCACCCCACAGGCCTGGAGGAAGCTGGTGCCTATGCTCCTCCCCCTGGAACACCCAGCACTTCTCATAGACTCATAGACTCATAGACTTTAAGGTCAGAAGGGACCAATATGGTCATCTAGTCTGACCTCCCGCATAATGCAGGCCACAAAAGCTGACCCCCCCACTTTCCCTTATCTCAGCTGTTGAAGTCTCCAGATCGTGATCCAAAGACTTCAAGTCGCAGAGAATCCTCCAGCTTGCGACCCCTCCCCTATGCTGAGGAGGAAGGCGAAAAACCTCCAGGGCCTCTGCCAATCTACCCTGGAGGAAAATTCCTTCCCGACCCCAAATATGGCGATCAGTAGAACCCCGAGCATACAGGCAAGATTCTCTAGCCAGACCCTCATTTTACCAGCGATGGCCGTTATTGCCTAATTGACTAAAATCACGTTATCTCATCAAACCATTCCCTCCATAAATTTATCTAGCCTAATCTTGAAGCCAGAGAGGTCTTTCGCCCCCACCGTTTCCTTTGGAAGGCTGTTCCAAAATTTCACCCCTCTGACGGTTAGAAACCTTCGTCTAATTTCAAGCCTAAATTTCCCCACGGCCAGTTTGTATCCATTCGTTCTCGTGTCCACATTAGTACTGAGCTGAAATAATTTCTCTCCCTCCCTGGTATTTATCCCTTTGATATATTTAAAGAGAGCAATCATATCCCCCCTCAGCCGTCTTTTGGTTAGGCTAAACAAACCCAGCTCCTCGAGTCTCCTTTCATAGGAAAGGTTTTCCATTCCTCGGATCATCCTAGTGGCCCTTCTCTGTACCCGTTCCAGTTTGAGTTTATCCTTTTTAAACATAGGAGACCAGAACTGCACACAGTACTCCAAATGAGGTCTCACCAGTGCCTTGTATAACGGAAGCAGCACCTCCCTGTCCCTACTAGAAATACCTCGCCTAACGCATCCCAAGATCGCATTAGCTTTTTTCACAGCCACGTCGCATTGCCGACTCATAGTCATCCTGTGATCTACCAGGACTCCTAGGTCCTTCTCCTCCTCCGTCACTTCCAACCTATGCGTCCCTAGCTTATAACTGAAATTCTTATTAGTCATCCCTAAATGCATCACCTTACACTTCTCACTATTAAATCTCATCCTATTATTATTGCTCCAATTTACAAGGTCATCCAAGTCTCCCTGCAGAATATCCCGATCCTTCTCCGAATTGGCAATCCCTCCCAACTTTGTGTCATCCGCAAACTTTATCAGCCCTCTTCTACATTCGGTTCCGAGGTCAGTAATGAATAGATTAAATAAAATCGGACCCAAAACCGAACCTTGAGGAACCCCACTGGTGACTTCCTTCCAACCTGACAGTTCACCTTTCAGTACTACCCGCTGCAGTCTCCCCTTTAACCAGTTCCTTATCCACCCCTGGATTTTCCTATCGATCCCCATCTTTTCCAATTTAACCAATAATTCCTCATGCGGTACCGTATCAAATGCTTTACTAAAATCGAGGTATATTAGATCCACCGCATTTCCTTTATCTAGAAGGTCTGTTACTTTCTCAAAGAAAGAGATCAGATTGGTTTGGCACGACCTGCCTTTCGTAAACCCATGTTGTAATTTGTCCCAATTGCCATTCACCTCAAGGTCCTTAACTACTTTCTCCTTCAAAATTTTTTCCAAGACCTTGCATACTACAGAAGTTAAACTAACAGGCCTGTAGTTACCCGGGTCACTTTTTTTCCCCTTCTTGAAAGTAGGAACCACATTAGCTATTCTCCAGTCCAGCGGTACCACCCCCGAGTTTACAGATTCATTAAAAATTATCGCCAAGGGGCTTGCAATTTCTCGCGCCAGTTCCTTCAATATTCTAGGATGAAGATCATCCGGTCCTCCCGATTTAGTCCCGTTTAACTGGTCTAGTTTGGCTTCCACCTCTGATACTGTAATGTCAATCCCCCCTCCTTTATTCCCCTCTGTCCTACTCACTCTATTCCTAAACCCTTCATTAGCCTTATTAAAGACCGATGCAAAATATTCATTTAGATATTGTGCCATGCCTCGATTATTCTTAATTTCCACTCCATCTACATTCTTCAGCGGTCCCACTTCCTCTTTTTTTGTTTTCTTCCTATTTATATGACTATAAAACCTCTTACTATTGGATTTAATTCCCCTCGCGAGGTCCAACTCTACACGGCTTTTGGCCTTTCTCACCGCATCCCTACACGCTCTGACCTCAATAAGGTAGGTTTCCTTGCTGATCCCTCCCTTCTTCCATTCTCTGTACGCTTTCTGTTTTTTCTTAATCGCCCCTTTGAGACGCCCGCTCATCCAGCTAGGTCTAAATCTCCTGCCCACTAATCGTTTTCCCTTTCTCGGGATACAGGCCTCGGACAGCTCGTGGAACTTCAGCTTGAAATAATCCCAGGCGTCATCTGCCTTTAGATCCCTAAGTGTGTTAGCCCAATCCACTTCCCTAAGCAGTTGCCTTAATTTATTAAAGTTGGCCTTTTTGAAATCGTAAACCTTAGTCACAGTATTATTTCTGTTAATCCTTCCATTTAGTTTAAATCGAATTAGCTCATGGTCACTCGAGCCAAGGTTGTCCCCTACAACCATTTCCTCAACGAGGTCCTCACTACTCACTAGCACCAAATCTAAAATGGCATCCCCCCTCGTCGGTTCAGTTACTACTTGATGAAGGAATTCATCTGCTAGCACGTCTAGGAACATCTGAGCCCTATTATTGTTACTAGCATTTGTTCCCCAATCTATATCTGGGAAGTTAAAGTCCCCCATGATGACACAGTTCTTATCAGTTTTTACTTCCCTAAAAACATTAAATAGTTCTCTGTCCGCATCCAGGCTAGATCCCGGCGGTCTATAGCACACCCCAAGCACTATCTCGGGGGAGGCTCTAGTAGTTCTTTTACCCAGTGTAATTATTGCCCATACAGACTCCGTCTTATCCATTCCATCACTTATTAGTTCTTTACATTTAAGCTCATTATTGACATACAATGCCACTCCTCCACCTTTACCTTTTTTCCGGTCATTCCTAAACAGCACATACCCTTCCATACCTGTACTCCAGTCATGACTACCGTTCCACCACGTTTCGGTTATTCCTACGATATCAGGTTTCATTGTTTGGACCAGGAGCTCTAATTCCTCCATTTTGTTACCTAGGCTTCTCGCATTGGTGTATAAACATCTTACTGTATGCTGTTTATCCTTTCTCCCATTAGTTATGCAATTTGGTACGGACCCCATACTGTCCATCTGCCCCCTCTTTCTTATGTCCAATTCCCTACCCCTACCTATGTCTGTGCTTATCTCCTCACCCTCCTTTTCAGTGTTGGAATCTGGCGTGTAGATTAACTGGACATCTCCCAACCATCTCCCCCAAGTTCCTAGTTTAAAGCCCTTTTGATGAGATGAGCCAGCCTCCCTCCCAGAAGTCTATTTCCTTCCCTACTCAGGTGAAGTCCATCCCGCGAGAACAGCTGTCTGTCCCCGAAAGCCTTCCTCTGCCCAGGACAGGTTTTAAAGGGACCATGCTCTCTAAACACCAAGGGGGTTACAAATATGTTAGCTTTGTAAGTGAAAGTAGTGGAAGAGTTTAGCCTTCCTGCTCATCAGTTAAGCAGTGCTCAGCTCCTTCCAATGGTTCTTCTTATTCAACCTTTTGTCCCTACTACACAGTGTGTGGTGAGAGATATTGTCTGTGTTCATCAAAGGGAGAACCAGTCCCTTGTTCTTGCTCAGGAAACTGCAGGATTATGGAGCAGCTCATCCACCATCACTAGAGAAAATGAAGTACATGCACATAAGCTAGAACAGCAGTAAATGAGAGGCAGGGTTGCCTAGTGGATAGTGCAGTGGACTGTTGCCTGGTCTACACTACAGAGTTGGGTCGATGTAAAACAGCTTACGTCAACCTAATTATGTCAGTTTCCACACTACAGCCTTGCTCCATGAAATTGACAAGAAAGTCTGGCTCCCAGCTCGAGCGGAGAGTCCAGGAGACAACCAGGCTCTGGGTGTGGGGCTCCTGGCGGGGAGCTGGGAGCCTCAGTGCTGTTAGGCTCCGAGCAGGCAATAGGGAGCCCGTAGCCCAGGCCTAATTTGATGGTGTCCAGTTTGCAAATTAATTCCGGTTCTGCAGTTTCTCGTTGAAGTCAGTTTTAGCTAAAGTTGAGCAAGTTTGTGAATAGAACAGCCCTGACATTAACATTAACTTTACTTGCTGTGTATTAAATAGGAATCTGACCAGATTAACTGACCAGCCGCACTCATAGACTCACATTTGATTATTAATTTAATGGGAAATAGGTTTTGATAACGGAGTAATAAAACTTTTGGCTCATTACTGAGCAATGTAGGATTGTCACAAGTTCATTTATTTCTTCTGTAGGTTTGGGCTCTGATCCTGTCATCTCTGTGGAGGGACATCAGGATGGAGGGATCCGGGTTGTGTGTCGATCAGCCGGATGGTACCCAGAACCCGAGGCTCAGTGGAGAGATCTCCAGGGGCAGCTCTTACCATCAGACACTGAAAACATATCCCCAGAGGCCAATGGCCTGTTTCAAACAGAGATTGCTATTGTTATAACAGAAGAATCCAACCAGAAAGTGTCCTGCTGTGTCAGGAACCTTCTTCTCAACCAGGAGAGAGAGTCAGCGATTTCCATAGCAGGTCAGTGCCCGTCCCAGCCGCACATGGATAGACTGAGACGTTGCAGACATGGGCAGAGAGTATTTGTCACTGTGTCTCCTGTTCATTGGCCTGAACCTTCAAGGTCCTGAGCACTTCTTGGAAAGTCCTGAGCAACTTCCAAAACCTGCAGCTGGCCCGTGCCAGCTGACTCAGGCTAAAGTACTGTTAAACTGTGGTGTAGACGTTTGGGCTTGGGCTGGAGACCAGGCTCTAGGTTCCTGCGAGGTGAGAAGGTCCCAGAGCCTGAGCTTCAGCCTGAGCTGGAAAGTCTCCACTGAAATTAAACAGGATTAATTAGACAAGCCCAGGGTAATCACTTAACAAGAGCACTCTAGTCACCCATTGCTCTGGGTGCAAGGAGCAGGAATCTGGAGGAGTTTTTACTTTGAATTTCCAGACTCAGGTTTTGTTTTTATTAAAATCCTTCATTAACATATTTTGGGTCAGACTCTTTCAAGTAGCTGAGCCCCTCTGAGCTCAGGAGACCTGGGGGTGTCAGGAAACAGGTCACAAATCTCTGATTCTGAGGGTCAGTTTGCACTGGCCACAGCTTTGATATCAGTTAGACAAGCCCAGGGAATGCTTGAACTTATGTCAATGGGGGATAGGTGTAGCATAGCAGAGCTCCACCCAACCCCCAACACACCCTTTCCCATTAATTAACCATCTTCACTATATGCAGAAACAAAATCTTGTCTAAGAGCATCTTAATTTTTAGAAAAAAGTTCAGATTTTATGTATTATTATCTACCAAATAACTTGGTTAATACAGAATGACTATTTCATCACTATAATAATAAGGATGTTGCATTTGTCAAGCAGTATTCACTTGAGATCTCAAAGTGCTGCACTGCTAATTTCCCTCAGTATTACATGATTGTTATGTTCACAGCATACACGCAGAAAGTTAGAAACAAAACCTAAATACTCTTCCTGTAAGGCTGCAATGTAACACTGCTTTATTTCTGAGAATCCAGAACTCTAACACACAGCAGCTAAATACAGAGAGAGACAAAGCAGGCTGCTCCCTAAAGCAAAAAGGCAGAACTCTACCCACTTTCCTTTAGGCTGTCTCTTTGAAAGCGGAATGCATAAGACTGACATTGGATGCACCCTACAGAGACCCCCTAGCCTGCAAGCAGGACAAGGGAATCCCTCAAGATTTAAAGCGACAGCTGGTGATTTTTATAGTTTTCAATACACCACACTAATCACTTAGGAAGTACCCTGAGGTCAGCCATTGCTCCAGGACCCAGAGAAGAGGACTCTGGAAGAACTATTTACTTTGACTTGCCAGGCTCAAGTTTTGATTTTATTAAAATCCTTCATTAAAATATTTTGAGTCAGATCCTTGAGCCCCAGTGAGCCAGGAGAGTTGGGAGGTGTCAGGAAACTGGTTACAATTCTCTAATTTTGAACGTCAGTCTCCACTGGCTGCAGCCTTGGGATCAGTCAGAGAGGCTAGGGACTGCTTGAATTTATGCCAGTGGGAAATAGGTGTTGTGATTGGTTGGACCCCTTGGGAAGCCATAAGAACATAAGAACGGCCGTACCAGGTCAGACCAAAGGTCCATCTAGCCCAGTATTCTGTCTACCGACAGTGGCCAATGCCAGGTGCCCCAGAGGGAGTGGACCAACAGGCAATGATCAAGTGATCTCTCTCCTGCCATCCATCTCCATCCTCTGACAAACAGAGGCTAGGGACACCATTTCTTACCCATCCTGGCTAATAGCCATTAATGGACTTAACCACCATGAATTTATCCAGTTCTCTTTTAAACGCTGTTATAGTCCTAGCCTTCACAACCTTCTCAGGTAAGGAGTTCCACAAGTTGACTGTGCGCTGCGTGAAGAAGAACTTCCTTTTATTTGTTTTAAACCTGCTGCCTATTAATTTCATTTGGTGACCCCTAGTTCTTGTATTATGGGAATAAGTAAATAACTTTTCCTTATCCACTTTCTCCGCATCACTCATGATTTTATATACCTCTATCATATCCTCCCTTAGTCTCCTCTTTTCCAAGCTGAAGAGTCTTAGCCTCTTTAATCTCTCCTCATATGGGACCCGTTCCAAACCCCTAATCATCTTAGTTGCCCTTTTCTGAACCTTTTCTTGTGCGAGTATATCTTTTTTTAGATGAGGAGACCACATCTGTATGCAGTATTCGAGATGTGGGCGTACCATCGATTTATATAAGGGCAATAATATATTCTCAGTCTTATTCTCTATCCCCTTTTTAATGATCCCTAACATCCTGTTTGCTTTTTTGACCTCCTCTGCACACTGCGTGGACATTTTCAGAGAACTATCCACGATGACTCCAAGATCTTTTTCCTGATTTGTTGTAGCTAAATTAGCCCCCATCATATTGTATGTATAGTTGGGGTTATTTTTTCCAATGTGCATTACTTTACATTTATCCACATTAAATTTCATTTGCCATTTTGTTGCCCAATCACTTAGTTTTGTGAGATCTTTTTGAAGTTCATCACAGTCTGCTTTGGTCTTAACTATCTTGAGCAGTTTAGTATCATCTGCAAACTTTGCCACCTCACTGTTTACCCCTTTCTCCAGATCATTTATAAATAAGTTGAATAGGATTGGTCCGAGGAGTGACCCTTGGGGAACACCACTAGTTACCCCTCTCCATTCTGAGAATTTACCATTAATTCCTACCCTTTGTTCCCTGTCTTTTAACCAGTTCTCAATCCATGAAAGGACCTTCCCTTTTCTCCCATGACAACTTACTTTACTTAAGAGCCTTTGGTGAGGGACCTTGTCAAAGGCTTTCTGGAAATCTAAGTACACTATGTCCACTGGATCCCCCTTGTCCACGTTTGTTGACCCCTTCAAAGAACTCTAATAGATTAGTAAGACACGATTTCCCTTTACAGAAACCATGTTGACTATTGCTCAACAGTTTATGTTTTTCTATGTGTCTGACAATTTTATTCTTAACTATTGTTTCGACTAATTTCCCTGGTACCGACGTTAGACTTACTGGTCTGTAATTGCCAGGATCACCTCTAGAGCCCTTTTTAAATATTGGCGTTACATTAGCTAACTTCCAGTCATTGGGTACAGAAGCTGATTTAAAGGACAGGTTACAACCCTTAGTTAATAGTTCCGCAACTTCACATTTGAGTTCTTTCAGAACTCTTGGGTGAATGCCATCTGGTCCCGGTGACTTGTTAATGTTCAGTTTATCAATTAATTCCAAAACCTCCTCTAGTGACACTTCAATCTGTGACAGTTCCTCAGATTTGTCACCTACAAAAGCCGGCTCAGGTTTGGGAATCTCCCTAACATCCTCAGCCGTGAAGCCTGAAGCAAAGAATCCATTTATTTTCTCCGCAATGACTTTCTCGTCTTTAAGCACTCCTTTTGTATCTCGATCATCAAGGGGCCCCACTGGTTGTTTAGCAGGCTTCCTGCTTCTGATATACTTAAAAAACATTTTGTTATTACCTTTGGAGTTTTTGGCTAGCCGTTCTTCAAACTCCTCTTTGGCTTTTCTTATTACATGCTTGCACTTAATTTGGCAGCGTTTATGCTCCTTTCTATTTGCCTCACTAGGATTTGACTTCCACTTTTTAAAGGAAATCTTTTTATCTCTCACTGCTTCTTTTACATGATTGTTAAGCCACGGTGGCTCTTTTTTAGTTCTTTTACTGTGTTTCTTAATTTGGGGTACACATTGAAGTTGGGCCTCTATTATGGTGTCTTTAAAAAGTGCCCATGCAGCTTGCAGGGATTTCACTTTAGTCACTGTACTTTTTAACTTCTGTTTAACTAACCCCCTCATTTGTGAAATTAAATGCCACAGTGTTGGGCTGTTGAGATGTTCTTCCCACCACAGGGATGTTGAATGCTATTGTATTATGGTCACTATTTCCAAGCGGTCCTGTTATAGTTACCTCTTGGACCAGCTCCTGCGCTCCACTCAGGACTAAATCTAGAGTTGCCTCTCCCCTTGTGGGTTCCCGTACCAGCTGCTCCAAGAAGCAGTCATTTAAAGTATCGAGAAATTTTATCTCTGCATTTTGTCCTGAAGTGAAATGTTCCCGGTCAATATGGGGATAATTGAAATCCCCCACTATTATTGGGTTCTTAATTTTGATAGCCTCTCTAATTTCCCTTAGCATTTCATCATCACTATCACTGTCCTGGTCAGGTGGTCTATAATAGATCCCTAATGTTATATTCTTATTATAGCATGAAATTTCTATCCATAGAGATTCTATGGAACATGTGGATTCACTTAAGATTTTTACTTCATTTGATTCTACATTTTCTTTCACATATAGTGCCACTCTCCTCCCCCCCTCCCCCGCACAACCTGTTCTGTCCTTCCGATATATTTTGTACCCCGGAATGATTGTGTCCCATTGATTGCTCTCAGTGCACCAGGTTTCTGTGATGCCTATTATATCAATATCCTCCTTTATCACGAGGCACTCTAGTTCACCCATCTTATTATTTAGACTCCTAGCATTTGTGTACAAGCACTTTAAAAACTTTTCACTGTTTATTTGTCTGCCCTTTTCTGATGTGTTAGATTCTTTTTTATGTGAATGTTTATCATCTGATCTGGCCCTTACATTATCCTCCTCCATCCTCTGCTCCTGACTATAACCTGGAGATTCTCTATCATTAGACTCTCCCCTAAGAGAAGTCTCTGTCCGATCCACATGCTCCTCTGCAGCAGTTGGCTTTCCCCCATCTCATAGTTTAAAAACTGCTCTACAACTTTTTTAATGTTTAGTGCTAGCAGTCTGGTTCCACTTTGGTTTAGGTGGAGCCCATCTCTCCTGTATAGGCTCCCCCCATCCCAAAAGTTTCCCCAGTTCCTAATGAAAGTAAACCCCTCCTCTCTACATCATCGTCTCATCCACGCATTGAGACTCTGAAGCTCTGCCTGCCTACATGGCCATGCACGTGGAACTTGATGTGCTGAAATAAAACTGAGTCTACCTGTTCTGCTAGCACGGGCCCCCTTTAAACTGTCTTGCTGAGCCAGGCTCTTAAAACCTCCTCCAACACACACACAGGCTGGGCCACATCCAGCTGCAGATCAGCTCTGGGAAGTCTCAGTTTAAGGGACTTACTCCAGTATTCAGATGTCCACCTCCCTTGGAGTACAGACCCAAAGATATATTATGAAATTTGCCCCCTCCCTCAATGTGGAGAGAGGTGTGCGCACTTCTTGTCACCACCCCCCAGTTAGAAATTACAGAAACTGAGTTTAATAATAAACAAAACAAATGTTATTAACTATAAAAGGCAGATTTTATGTGGTAAAAGGGGTAACAAACAGAACAAAGCAGATTACTAATCAAATGAAATCAAACACGCAAACTAATCTTAATACACTAAAGAAACTGGTTACATATAAGTTCTCACCCTAAATGTGGTTCTAATAATCTTCTTCACAGGCCAGACACCCTTCCAGCCTGGGTCCATTTTTTCCCCCCGTTCAGTCTTAGTTGTTTCCAGCAGTCATCACAGGGGAGAACTGAGGACCTGGATTACCTCACTCCCCCCCCCCTTAAATAGGATTTGCATAAGGCGGGAGTCCTTTGTTTCCTAGTTTGACCCCCCCGCTTCTCGTGGAAAAGTACAGAATTCAAGCTGGGTTCCAGTATCAGGTGACATGGTCACATGCCTCTATAGGGCCCCTGTAGCCATTCTTCACAGGCTGACCCACAGGTTCATAGGAAGACTAAGCTCTTTTACAGTCCATTGTCTCTTGCTGATGGGCCATCAGCACTGTCCGGCTTTTTCATTGTTGTACCTGAAGTGTTGGCGGTGGGCATCACCCAAAGTAGCATAGTCGAAATACAGATACATAGTTAATATTCCTAACTTCAGATATATAAATGATACAGGCACACAAATTGGATAGTCACATTCAGTAAATCATAACCTTTCCAATGACATCTCACATGAGCCATCTTGCGTAAAGTGTATCTCAGATATGTCATATTAATAAGCATATTTTCATAAATAATATGGACTGACACATCACAGGTGTAGCATAGTAGAGCTGCACCCTACCCCCTCCTTACCCACAACAGCCCCCATCCCATTAATTAACCATGTTCAGTAACCAGGCTAAAGCTTGGACTTACATTAGCTGAATAATAAAGCACAAAGGAGCCACATCTCACCGTGAGATTCTTTTAACTAGTCACAGAGTCACCATTGTCACAGGGTCCTGCCTTCATTCTGCGCGTGTTTGTACCCAAGTTAATGGCACTTTCTCTTGCAGAGCTGTTTTTCCCACGAGACAATCGCTGGCGGGTGGCTCTGGGGGTGATCCTGGCTGTCCTGGCTGTTCTCATTCCCCTGGCCAGTTACTGCGTCTGGAGGCAGCACAGAGCAAAAGGTAAATTAACAAGAGGCAGGAATTTGGTGTGTGTGATAGAGAGACATTAAAAATCAAAACCAAAGGTAGAGAGACCAGGATTAAGGGGATTTGATTCAGTGTTCTTCAGGAGAGTGTCAGGCAATGGGAGTCAGGCTGAGGGTGAAGGGGGAGCTGAATAAATTATGGCTTCATATTTGAACTGAGAAATGTCAAGTGGGTTCCCCCTTTCAGATCTCACGCAGGGTTCCCAATAGAATGTGATCCTGAATTGTTCCAAGGTGATCAGCATGGCTCAGTTTGAAAGACCCACGTGAGGCTCGGTGAGCTGGGCTTGGAGCTCCGACATACGTAACTGGGCTCCTTGAAGGAAAACGAGGATGCAAAGTGTTTGTGTGGGTGGGTGGGTGGGTGAGTGAGTGGGTGGGTACCGGTGGGGGGTACTTAGGGCCCAGTTCTGCCCTTCAGTTCTGCATGAACCCCCCTCCCCACACAGCATCTAGGTAAGTAGGAGCTGCAGATGTGCAAAGTAGTGGCTGTGCAAATGGAAAGGTTAGCAGTTACTTTTCTACTCTAAGATTTGCTCAGCCTGTGTTCCTGCTACAGGAACGGGGCAGTGAACTCTCTATTGTAGTACAAGTGGTCAGCTGTAGTTTTTTTTTTCCTTTTGGTCACAAAAGGCAGAAATTGTCCTTCAGTGATCTCTGTGTTTATAGGGAGCTGGGGTTTTCATAGCTGCCTAGGGGGTCTGAATGCCCGATTTTTATTTACAGTAATGGGCACCGAATGTGCAAACGCCCAAGGCAGCTGTGAAAGTCCCACCCGGAGGGTTTTCTCACCTGAAGTGCTGTGAACTGTATGTAGAGATGTACCAGTGTCAGAAGAATTGGAAGGGGAAATGTCTGTTACAATGATTTCCCAGTGGGGACAGAAGCAGGTAATTCAGAGAAGCAGAGAGGAGCTGTGCTGTTTACTTGTGCTTTGTACTTGTGAAAGTTGGAACTGGATGTTGCACCTTTAGAACTGTCACCTACACACTCTGTCAGCACCAGGTGTGAACTGGTTTAGTTCACGGCTTTATGTGGGCTGAGTCCACAGTATTGCTGTCAAGGCTGATTCCCTACTCTGGCACTTTGAGTGCAGAAGGTGGGGGCCCGTAAGGATTCTAAAAATTAATACTGGCCACTTCAGGCTTGTATTAAACTCCCAAGGTTAGATGCTGCAACCACCCAAATGCAAAACCACTTGGAACCCAGGAAGGTGCATGTGGGAATTCCTTCCTGTGTGGTACCCTCAAGCCCTTTCACTTCCCCCATCGCCAGGGAAGAGCTGAGAAAGGAAAATAAAGAAATCAACTGTTGCCACCAGCTAACGAAAAAGTCATGTGCACAAACCTCTTAAGACACAAAAATCCAAATCCTGTTCTTAAAAAAGGTAATTTTTATTAAAAACAAAAGAAAGAAAATACATCTGAAAACTCAGGGTATTGCTAGATTTTAAAAGAGCAATTCCAAAAATTAAGCACCAAAAATAGTTTTCTGGGTGTTCAGTTTAAAGATTACAAGCAACAAAAGCATCTGGGGTTAGCACAGAGGAATCCACAAGCCATAAGAAATAAACAAAATAAACTTAATTGTGTCTTCCTACACATTTTCTGATCTACTTACATATCTGGGTTCCAAATAAGCAATTCTAGGTATCATTCTGATGATTTTCATACCTGGCCTTCAGCTTCTCACAGCATAACTGTTGCCCTGTTCCCCTCTTCTCCGGAGAACAAAAACAGACAGACAAAGAGAAGTTTTTTTCCCAATTTTAAAAAGTTCTAGCCTTCCCATTGGCTCTTTTGGTCAGGTGCCCACTCACTTCCCTTTACCTATGCGTGCAGTCAAACTTTTTAACCCTTTACAGGTAAAGCAAGTAGAGAACAGCTACCATGAGGGATTCTATAGCTAACTGGCTGGCTGGGTGTCCACAAAAGGGACCAACCCCTCCCCCCCCACCCCCCGGCCCATTTATCACAATTGCCAACCCCAAATGTTCAAAAATGATGAATCAGGCTCACCAACAATCAGGAGATTGGCTTTAAAATCATGGGATGATGTAAAAATAATAGATGTGGGGTTCTTTTTATTTGCCTTCTGCTTTTTGAGCCTTTAGGGTGCACTGGAGTCACATTTTGAACCTTTCTCCACAGCCACAAGGGCTAGAAACATACTTTTTTTTTAAGAAGGAAGGCTGAAATCATCACATCTCCACTTGACTCCAGGAGCTGGGGGTTTAAGGAAAACAATAATTATCATGAGACTCATGACAAAATCATGAGAGTTGGCAGCACTGATTAGGTGACAGGGATTAACTCATTTTCAGTGGTGTATAAAATTTGTCTATGTGCCCAGAGAGAATTCTGTTGGGCTCATTTCCAAACACTAAACCATCAGAACAATTAACTGTCACTGTCTTGTTCCCTGGGCCTTTCAGAGAATTCTCCGCACCAGCTGCACTGGTGAGCTGTGGCTGGGATGCTGTAATAACACAAACACACTCAGGATTTGCACGGCTGGTCTGACACGCTGCTCACACTGGGCACAAGATGCTCTCGCTCAGGCTGTGCTCAGCAGTGACTGGCAGACATGATGCGACCTCCATTTCCAGCAGTGTTGGTACCCCAGGGCTGACACCAAAAGGACGAGCTCCAAGTGGGAAAGAGCTGATCTTAGAGGCGATGCCTGTAGGGGCCCATCCACACCCCCCTCCCTGGCTCACGCTGACCTGAGCACCCAGCTAAAGAAAGGCCTCTCCACCCCATTCTTAGCTGGGGCATCTCCCACTGAACCTGGCCTTACAGGGATCTGTTCCCATGTCTCATTAGGACCAGGAGGCAGGCACCATCCCCAAGATTAGAAGTTGGCCTGGGATGGGAGTGCAGGGACCTCCACAGACAGACCCTTCTGTGTCTCTCCCTTTGTTCCTCTATTTCATGACTACAGAAGAGCTGCATTAAACAACAATAGGAATTTCACCATAAACATGATGGAATGAAATCTCATCTCTCCCCCTTTTCTCCCTCTAGAGACGCTGCGATCTGAACTGGAGAGGGAGAAAGGTCAGTGTCTGGGCCCAGTTACATTAACTGATGTAAGGGTTATTCCCATAAATATGACAGCGGAATATCACCTCTTCCCCTTTTCTCTCCATAGAGATGCTGCGATCTGATCTGGAGAGCGAGAAAGGTCAGTGTCTGGGGCCAATGGGGTAGGTTAACGGAAAGGTTATATGAGAATGTTACCCAAAAATGTTGCAGGTGTAAAGATCGTCACAGTTGGAGATTCCCCCCTCAGCCCTGGGGACCCGGCTGTGCCTGGAGGGCCCATAGGACGTGATGGCTCAGACTGTGGCTACGGAGCTGCATGGGCTGCAGCGCCTGCAGCGGGGAAATCAGCAGAGCCCCTCCCTTCAGCAGGCGATGTGGGGGAAGGTATTTGCACAGAGACAATTCCAATGGGGAGGGAGGAAAGGGGGAGAGTAAATGTGTGAGCTGGAGAAAGTGCAAAACACCCATGGGATGGAACAATTACAAATAACGTGCTGGTGTTTGAAGGGGTGATGGGGAATGTCTCCGTATCGGAACCAGAGCCCAAGCAGTGAGCTCAGGGCTGCTTGTGCTGACACAGACGGGCTCTGAAGGGGAAGGGGCCATTTGTCCTAAAACCCCTTGGAAATTACAGACACAGCACCCTGAGCCTAGGCCCTGTGTAGCCCTAGCCCAGCCAGGCCAGAATCATTGCTGGGGACTGTGAGACTTGTCCAGTATTTAATACAATTCCTCACATGCGATCCCCCCATGTTCTAGCCTTTCCACGGCCATGTAATGAGGCAAGGGGCAGGATTTCACCCTCAGTGACTCTGTGTGTGTGTGTGTGTGTGTGTTTGTGTTTGTGTTTGTGTTTGTGTTTGTGTTTGTGTTTTCTGGTATCCAGGACCATGAGGCATTTCGTACTTGAGGGAAGGGAGGGAGAATGTATCTCCTCTCTCTCCCCTCCCTGTTTTAGCAGGCACAGAGGTCACACTGTATTTGGATTCAGGGAGGGGCCTGAATTCACTGTTCCTCACCCCAGCAGCCTTTGATGACAGGTATCTGCCCCTCTGCCATTGCCGCCCTCCCCAGTACCTGTCTTCATCCAGCTGTGAGGGAGAAGCACACAAGCTGGATGTTTCTGCTAAAATGATCAGCAGTGAGAAAATTGCAAATGGTGACAATTAAATTGTCATGGATCAGGCCTTAGTGTCAGCCTCCCAACCCCACTGTGCTGAGTGTGAGCAGCAAATAGCGCTGCCTGCAGACTCAGGCAGATCTCAGTGGGCTGGAGCATTGCTTACACCGAGGTCACTTGCTCAATTATACCTTCATACCCATCAAAGCTGGGCACATTTTAATAAATGGAGGGTGAGATTTTCAACCCCTTTACGGTCAGTAAAAAGACCAGAGCAGCATAAAAGGGCTCCAGAAGGCCTGGATCCAGCGGGGGGGATTCCTCCAGTGCAGGCAGTGCAGAGAACAGCTGCAGGCTGCCCCCTGAGGACCCACTCACAAGCCCTATTGAAGGGGTGTGTGGGAGATCAGCCTGGGAACAAGAGGTGGGTGTCAGGAGAGGGGCACAGTGCTGCAGAGCTGCTGCTCTTCACCCAGGGAAAGGCTGCCATAACTAAAGGCACTCCCATTACGGAATAAGAGCGCTGACATGGGGCATTATACCGGTGTAACAAGAGCAGTTTAAATTCCCACCTTACCTTACACTGGTGTAACCTTCCCATGCAGACAAGCCCTGAGTTACAGCGGAGGCTGCTTTGGCACCCAGAGCACCCAAGATCAGGGGGATGCAATGTGGGCTTAGCCCTCCTGTGCCCTTGGGCTCCAGGTTCTGAGCACAGAATCTCACCCTGAGAGTTTAGATCACGGAGCACAATTATGTGGCAGTTCTGTAACTAGAGAGTTGCTTACTTCATTGCTTACATAGGCCCAGGGCTGCATCGAGCTGGGCTCACCCCAGCCCCCCAGCCTTCAAATGGGTCCCTTCCCCCTCCCCTCCTCCCCCCCGTAGCTATAACCCTACTGATTTTCAAGAAAGGCAGAAAACTGGAAAAACTAATTTCCACGAAAATCAGGCTTTTCCGATTTCCCCCCATATCAGTAGGGTTCTGAGCAGGGTGGGGAGGCAAGGGGCCTGGCTGGAATATGGGGGTGAGGAGTCCACCTGGCAGGGGCTGGCTGAAGAGGAAGCAAGAAGCCCAGCTGGGGAGGGGGTGACTGGAGTGGAATGAGGGGCCTGTTAAGCCTAACTCTGACCTCACTCTCACCTTAAACCTTTAGCCCACCTTAATTGATCACTCTCGTTATAGCTGGTATAGCAGCACCCATTTTTTCATGTTCTATGTGTATATATATCTTCCTACTGTATTTTCCACTCCATGCATCCGATGAAGTGGGTTTTAGCCCATGAAAGCTTATGCCCAAATAAAAGTGTTAGTCTCTAAGGTGCCACAAGGACTCCTCGTTTTTGTTGTTGTTGTTTTTTCCTCCCTCACCCTGTATCTCGAGGGAATCAGGCTTTTACAAATTTCCAGTTTTCATGAAAATCAGGAGGTTTCTGCCCACTGATGCCTAGAACATGCCCTGAAACGCTGGAGCTGATGGGATGTGGTTTTCAAAAGTTATCCCATTACAGACAGACAGAAACGCCACCGAGTTCAGTGTGGGGCCTCCCTTCACTCAGCCAGAAGGGAAAGGAGACGGCCATTTACTCAGTGTTTTACCTGCACTTGGCCTCAGTTGTGTCCCCAGTATAATGCGGGCAGTGGAAATAGCTAGAGGCAGAGCCTCCCTGTGTGTTCTACTTTCTACCAGCAGAAAAATGACTCCAATGAGTTTGCAATAATTGAGTTAAATCTTCTGCCTTGTAACACAGCTCTCCTGTTATTCACTTCCAGCGGCGCATCAGGCAGAGAAAGGTGAGGTCCCTTTGTTCATTTCACTAAGGACGGGAGGGGGAATCTCAGACTTTACAAGAAGTTTCATAGACCCTCTGGGCAGCTCTCAGAGCCCTCGCTGTGAACAGAAAGTCAGTCTGGTTTATGCGGTGCATAGAGAAGCTCTGCCCCTCGTCCCTCACACTCAGCACACAGAGCGAACAGACCCAAACCCTGAACTCACTGAACTCACAGGGGATTTGTTGCTCCCACACAGCCATGGGCGGGAGCAGGTTTGGGCTCACTCTGCATGTAGCCAGCACTGTGCCCAGGCTGTGAGCTGGCTGTAGTAGTTCACATCCTCGGTGTAACCCTGTCAGGCCGATGGCAGCCAGGGACATGGTGGCTGATGATGTCATCATGCTGCTTGTGACAGTGTCACTCTGCCTGTCTTCTCTCCTGTGCTGATTGGCTGACAGCTCCAACCCTTTCCCACCAAGTCCTGTCACCCCAACCTCACTCCACCCCCGCTCCCCTCCCCCATCCCTTTCCATGTAGCTCGTCCCCTCCCCCTGCCCAGCGCAGTGTGACTGTTAAATGGTGGCACTGACGTGCCATTTGCACCATCGCTCTGCTCACTCTGCTTGTGTGTTCTGCCCCTTCCCTGCCCTGTGCCTGTCTTGTCCGGTTAGACTGTGAGCTCTTCAGGGGAAGGATTGGCTACTCCTCTGTGCTTTAAGGTCTTTTTGACTCGCTTCTCTTCTGCAAGATAATGTGATATTGACTCATTTCTCCTTGTTTTATTTTTAGACAAACTCCAGGCTGAGCTCGGTAAGTTCCATTCCCCCCAGTATCACCCTGTGTGACATTGTCTCCTGCTCAGCGTGTCGGTGTTCAGGGGCGTTCTCACTCCTCTGTCTGTGTTTGGTTGCAGGGTGGAGAAGCGCCCAGCTCTACGCAGGTACTGTACATACCACTGATGTTTTATCCATGGTGAGACCCACCTCCCCCTGGGAGCTCTCTGCTCCTTTCCCTGCACAGAGCATTTTCCTATGACATTCAATAGGTTAGAAACAGCAGTGTCACTGGGGTGGATGGAAAGGGGCAGGCGACACCCAGGTTTATTGCAGAGCAGGGACCTGTCCCCTTTGGGAAAGGGCTGATTAGTGATAAAATGCTGCCCCCTGGTGTCACCTTTCCCAGGGGGTACCTGGGCTCTGCAGGATGGACATTCTTATCTGGCCATAATTGAACTGAACTGCCAAGCTCTCTCCTCCCAGCAGCAGGATCAGATCAGGCTTTAGCCACAATTTCCTTCTAGCGTAACAGGCCCAGACAGGAGCTGTTCAGTGTCTGGATTACGGGGGAGGAAGGCCCTGTCCCCACTGCAAGAGCAGACAGGTTTTTATAACTAGCTTGTGATGCTCCCCTGACCCAGTTACAACAAATTGTGCTGACATGGCAGCTTTTCTGCCTCACAGCTGTGGCTGAGCTGTGTGTGTACATAGGTGCTGACTTTTGGTTTTGCCGGTGGGTGCCCCATCCTGGCTCCGCCCCCTTCCCCAAGGCCCTGCCCTCACTCTACCCCACTCCATCTCTTCCTGTCCCCACTCTGTCCCCTCCCTAGGTCCTCTGCCCTGAGCATCTCCTGCCCACTGCTCACTCCTTTCTGCCCCCTCCTGCCTTGAAGGCGAGGTGTGTGTGTTTGGGGAGGCTCAGCCTCCCCCAAAACTGGCAATTTTCAGCATATTTATACACTTCCTTCATATTCTTTTACTGAATGTATGTCTGTCACTGGTATCACAGCAATGTCATTATTCAAATAGTAATGAACTACATCATTACATTGTCATGAATTACAGTGTGTTAAAATCATTACACTCAGCCACAAGCTGTCTTCACTAACACCCCAGTGTAAAGACACTGTTCACTCTGTGCTTCACCTCTGCTTAGCGCCTGTTTGGGAGCTGAGGCCACGGATGGCTGTGGGAAGAAGGTGGATGGGAGGCACAAGCAGTGGGGAGTCTTTCCCCTCTCCCTTCTTCTGTTCTCCTCTCCCTTCCTTTTGCTCTCCCTGTCCCTTTCCCTCCCTCTTATTTCTTCTCTAAGTGCTTGCTCCCTCCCCTTCCTGATGTTTCCTCTTCTTACTTCCCACCTGTGTCCTTTTACCCATCTCTATGCTCCCCACCTCCTGGTGGCTCTGTGTAGTGACTGCTCCCACCCACACACTCAAAGCGGCAGAGGAGGTTCCCCCTACTGAGGTAGGAAGGGTGGCCTAGTGGTTAAGGCACAGGCCTTGGGCTCAGGTGTTCTGGGTTTGATTCTTTGCTCTGCCACAGACTCCGTGCTTAGCCTTGGGAAAGTCACTTCACCTCTGTATACCCTAGATCCCACCTGCCACATGGGGCTAATGCTGACCCTGCCTCCTAGGCTAAATCCCCCATCATGGCTGTGTGGTGATGGGGGAAATGGAGATACCAAGGTGGGTAGATTTGGCTGAATTTCTCCATAGCTGGAGAGTGAGAGCCAGCTCCACCCAGGGGGCATGGGAGAGTGAGGGGCTCAGGCCATCTCCTCACAGAATGGGGTTGGGGCTTCAGCCCTGCAGCTTCTGCCACTAGGGTGGCTGGGGCTCCCGACCTGGAGACTTCAGCCCCACATGTTCTGCCAGGGTCCAGGGTTTCTCCTCTCCCCTACCCCTCCAGCGTGGCTTCTGCCGGGGTCCGGGGCTTCTCCTCCCTCCAAGCGCAGCTCCTGCCAGGGTCTGGGGCTTCTCCTCCCTCTAATCCACCACTGCATCCAGCCATAGCCTAGCTGGGCTCCCTTGGGTCTCCTGATGCTGCTGTGGCTGGAGTCAAGCCTGGCTGGCAGGGAGCAGCCACACACGTGGACACCATGGCCATCAGCCCAAGAGGTGTGGGGCGGCCCCAGGTGAGCAGGGGCTGGCTGTGCTGCTGCTGACAGCCCCACGCCTAATCCTAAGGCTTTTCTCTTTTCTGAGACTCACTCAGCCCCTGCCGGAGCAGGGAGGCGGGAAACAGCTGATCTGAGCCTGCCCGCCAAACAGCTAATCGCAGCTGCGCGCAGGCTGCCCCTAGGAAACAGCTCATCTGCTGAGGCACCCGCAAAACACTTGATCCCTGGTTGCCAACAGCTGGTCATCCCAGTGGGTGCTGAGCACCCCCTATTTTTTTTCCGTCTGCTCCACATACACTACCTGTCCCCCTACTCAGAGCACTGTGTCCCCATCCCACCCCCGGGAGAAGGCACCAGCCCCTGCAGGCTACTGTTCGTTTTGCTGCCCCAGGCACCAACCTCACGAAGTAGGACATGGCACTAAATCTACTCCGCACCCCCCCAGCAGTGACTCCCAGAGCCGGTAGTCTGCCCCCCTGCCCTCCTTGCATCTGCCCCTCTGCTTGACCGCCCCCCAACCCTCCTGGGGTCTGCCCCTTCCCACCATCTCCCTCTTAGTGCCCACTCCTCCCCTCACTCCCCCCATTCCCCTCTGGTGCCTGCCCCACCCCTCACTGCCTTTGTCCCCGGTCACCTGCGCCTTCCCCCGGCCCCTCCTTTGCCCATCTCATGCTTCTTCCCTCGCTCCCCTCTAGCCCCCTGGTGCCAACCCCTCCTTTTTCACCCCCTCTCCCTGGTGCCTGCCCCTCCATTCACCCCTTGTGTCCGCTGGTGCAACCCCCTTCCCTCTGTCCCCCTCTGCCCCAGTGCCTGCCCCTTCTCCTGCCCCCTTTGGCCCCCTGGTGTCCACCCCTCCCCTCTCTCCCCCTAGGCATCAAACCCTCCCCCCACCCACCCTCTACTCCCTGGTGCTGCCCCTCCTCTTCCGTTCCTCCCCTCACCCCACTCTATCCCCTGACACCAGCCCCTCCCCTCTCCCTGTTCTGCCCTCCAGTGACTGCCCCTGCCCTAGATACCTCCTCTCCCACAGGTTCCTGCCTCATTCTGTCCCCCTGGCATCTGCCCATTCCCTCCCTCCCCCCCATGCTCCTGGTGCCTGCCCCACTCCTCATCCCCCACTCCGGCACCTGTCCCTCCTCTCGACTCTGATCTGCCCCTCTGGAGTCCACCCCTCTTCTCATTTCCCCTGCCCCTTGCCCCCCCATTCCCCTACACCCCCTTCCCCCTGCTACCCACCCCTTCCTTTGCTTCCCTGTGCCCCATGGAGTCTGTCCCATTCTTCTTGGTGCCCACCTCTCCCCTCACCCCCTGGAACCTGCCCTCCCCTTTCCCATCCCTCTGCTCCCCACCTTCCTGTTGTTCCCCTCAAGTTTTCTCTCATGGGCAGACAGGGCCCTGACTCTCCTTAAAGGGCAAGACTCCCCCCCCCCCCCCACTCACCTAGCGATTAACGGGGACGCAGATTAATTTATCTTTGATCCCAGTGACCAGCCCCTGCCCCCGGCCCTAACTCTGTGACTCTCTCCCCAGTGGACGTGACTCTGGATCCAGACACGGCAAATCCCAAACTCGTCCTGTCTGAGGATCGGAAACGTGTGAGATGTGGAGACAAACGCCAGGATCTGCCTGACAATCCTGAGAGATTTGATCCTTGTCCCGCTGTCCTGGGCGCTGAGGGGTTTGCGGGCGGGAGGCGTTACTGGGAGGTGGAGGTGGGAGACAAGACGAGATGGGATCTGGGTGTTTGTAGGGAATCTGTGAGCAGGAAGGGATGGGTCACAGCCACACCTGAGGATGGATACTGGGTTGTGTGGCTGAGAGAGGGGGAATACAAGGCTCTCACCTACCCATGGACCCCCCTCCGTGTGAGAGTCAGGCCCAGCCGGGTGGGGATTTTCCTGGACTATAAGGCGGGCGAGGTCTCATTTTACAATGTGACTGACAGGTCCCATCTCTTCACTTTCACTGACACCTTCTCTGGGACACTCCACCCTTATTTCTATCCTGGTGTCAACACTCGGGGTACAAATGCATCTCCCCTGATAATCTGCCCGGTCCCAGCTGAGGCCGGAGGGAATCTCTGTCCCTGACTGTTACACCCGCGGCATAGACTATCCCCTCCCAGCGCTGCTGCTCTTCCCACCCCCAGTGATGGGGGCCAGTTACTGCAGCAACTGGACTTTTTGTGCTGACCGGGCGCTGCCAGTTTCCCTTTTCAACTGGAGGTTCCAGTCGAAAACGAGACACCTGGCAACCCCCAGCCCTCACCTTCCCCGTCCCCTGCCTCAGGGGTAGCAGATGGTGGTGGACGGGGGTCATTCACTCCTGTCAGAATTTTCTACCCCTGAGCAGAGTATCAGGGGAGACATATCACATGGCATTGCTAGGACCACTTTTTGTTTTAAACATGATGCGTTATGAACATTTTCAATGTAATAATTCAGTTTTGAAGATTTATTCACAATATGCCATTCATGTGGCAGTATACCCTAAACTTACCTTGATTATTTGAAAATAAATACCCTAAAATTATCTTGTGATGGATTCATTTGTGTTTTTATCCAGTCTGCTGGTGTCTAGGTGGCATGAGCTGCTGAAACTATTTTTCCTACTGTGACAGACCCAGACCAGTGGGGTACAGGAGTCTGGTAGAGAGCAAATATACTGGTCACTGGATGAGTAGTTTTCTGTTCCCTGAGTGACCAGAGCAGGGGCTGCACTAGAGTAATCAGGAACCTGCTAGAACCAGTTAAGGCAGGCAGGCTAATTAGAACACCTGGAGCCAATTAAGAAGAAGCTGCTAGAATCAATTAAGGCAGGCTAATCAGGGCACCTGGGTTTTAAAAGGAGCTCACTTCAGTTTGTGGTGCGAGTGTGAGGAGCTGGGAGCAAGAGGCGCAAGGAGCTGAGAGGGAGAGGGTGAGGGTGAGGGTGAGGGTGTGCTGTTGGAGGACTGAGGAGCACAAGCGTTATCAGACACCAGGAGGAAGGTCCTGTGGTGAGAATAAGGAAGGTGTTTGGAGGAGGCCATGGGGAAGTAGCCCAGGGAGTTGTAGCTGTCATGCAGCTGTTACAGGAGGCACTATAGACAGCTGCAGTCCACAGGGCCCTGGACTGGAACCTGGAGTAGAGGGCAGGCCCGGGTTCCCTCCAAACCTCCCAATTGACCTGGACTGTGGGTTCTTCCAGAGGGGAACGTCTCTGGACTGTTCCCCAACCCACATGGTGAATCTCTGAGGCAAGAAAATCTGCCAATAAGCGCAGGACCCACCAAGATAGAGGAGGAACTTTGTCACACTAGATAATTTCCCTCTAAACTTTCTTTCAGAAATATCTGCGTTCCTTTCCCTATTTCTCACTGAGTTATGTGTAATTACTGTGGTTTCTTATCCAATCTTATTGTGTTATTACATGGGAAAATATGTTGGCAAATAGTAAAAACCATGTTGTATATTAACCTATCTGACAAGACATACAAATGTGTTGTCACTCACAATTGACAGCATGAAGTGTCCTGAAGAGATTGCAGGCAATGTTCATTTTTAAATTTCTAACTATGAATGGGCTCCCCCATCAGTTCCTGCAACCCCTGGCTGGCAGACCTCTGTGTGAATTAAGCAGCAGGCGGTCTGCCAGGGAACCTCCACCAAGTGTCTTTATGACTTTTTATAGTGCATCTCAACAGAGCAGCAGTTACGAGGAGCCCCCTTCCTGCTCCCTGGTTCCGCCTTTTATACTGCTGCTTTCTTCTCAGCGCTGAGCTAGTGACCTCACCAGGCTCCCTACAGGTGCAAGTGATCCCCTCTGCCCTTCCAAACCCAAACTACTCAGTCCCTCCTTCTCTAACTGCACCCGGTGCCCTGGGTGCTCTCAGTGACCAGGGTGCTGGCTTCCAAAGGCCTCAGTTTGTAACTGCTAACAGCCCCCGTCACACTGCCATGATTGTGTAATTGACCATATAGTGAAAATAACACACCAAATGTAAATTGTTACCTCATTATTCAATTCAGAACCTAGATCTGCCAGTATCTGCTCTGGACAGCCATGCTGATATATAATTTTACATGTTTTCTTCTCCCCCTCATGTGCTGTCATAGTTCTAAGTGGAAATTCTTCTACCTCTTTTGAAAAATCATCTGTAGCTGTCAGTACAAACTGGTATTGCTTCTGTGGTACTGGATAGAGTCCGATTCAATCTGCTCCCAGCAATTCCCAGGGTTTAATCACCTATGTGCAAGAACACAGGCTAGAGTTATCATTTGGATCTTTCCTGTGACATTTTTGTTATAATCCCATATATAGTGAGCAAAGTAAATGTTATAATGTGGTTGTGATGTTCCCCTCTGGTGTTATCTGGACCAGTGATATACTAGGTCACTCCAATCCTTGACTCTGGGAGCCAGCCTTACCCTGGTCTGCTGTGAGAACCCCCACTCCTGGGCTATTCATGCACAGCCTCTGGCATGTAAGCTGCTCCTTGGATTGTGCAACCAAATGACACTGGCCAATATCTCCAGTCCCAGACACAACCCTAGGAACCTCTGTCTTGCAGTGTCCAGTTATGCCCGCTGAACGCTGCAAGCTTATATGAGTTCATCAATTTAACAAAGCAATTGATATGTACCAGGCTTGTTATCCCAAGGGGAGTCTCTGACATGCTTCAAACCAAATGCACTGCTTCAGGTACAACAAACAAACAGATGTATTAACTACAAAGATAAATTTTAAGTGATTGTAAATCAAAGCATAACAAGTTGGATTTGGTCAAATGAAATAAAAGCAAAATGCATTCTAAGCTGATTTTAACACTTTCAATGCTGTCACAAACTTAGATGCTTTTCACCACAGACTGGCTGGTTGCCCTTCAGCCAGGCTCTCCCCTTTGATCAGCGCTTCAGTCACTTGGTGGTGATGTCTGTAGATGGAGGTGGAAGAGAGAGGAAGAGCATGGCAAATGCCTCTCCCTTTTATCATGTTCTTTCTTCCCTCTTGGCTTTGTCCCCCACCCTTCAGGTGAGCATTACCTCATCGCAGTCCCAAACTGACCAAATGAAGGGAGGTGACTCAATCCAGAGTCCAACAAATCCTTTGTTATTGCCTAGGCCAGTGTCCTTTGTTCCTGTGAGGCTGGGCTGGGTTTGTCCCATACATGCCCTGATGAGGTGTGAACCCCCTCAGCTCTTGGGGAGTTTTTGCCTGGTCTTGCTTTAAGACATGAGGACACATTTTCAGCCTCATAATTATATATACATGAAATTACAACCTATAACATTACTATGACAACTATTACTATAACATTACCATAACAACAATTCTCAGTATACCATGAGCCTTCCAAAGACACCCAACATGACAAACTTTTCATTAGATACCCCACAATCATATTATAAAGATGAACATGGGAGTGTAGGGTGTTCCCATGAGGTACAGAACATCACAGTGGTTTCTATAATAGTTGATGTCTCCATATAATCAGAATCTAACTTTTGGTGTTTTTCAGAAGTAAATAAATACAGGCCAAACTTCTGCAACTGAAAACTTGCATAAATACACTGTCAAGTAGGTTATTAAATTGGGCCTCTGGTGCATATTTTTTAGTCTTTCACTTAATGGCCATGATTTTGTTTTATTTATATAGCTGTTTTCAGTAGGCCACATTTTGGTGTGTTTACTAGCTTGAGTTGTTAGAAAGGATGATAAAATAAATGTACTCCAAGGGCAGTGTTAATTTTCTTGTTATTTGATTTCATATTAAATAAACATCTTAAGATGGGCACCTTCATTTTCCTTTGTTTTAATATTCTTGATTTTTAATTTGTACTGGTGGCGCACATCCGCACATTACCTTGATATTGGTGCTGCACATACCAAAATTTATTCTGCACATGGGTGGAAAATATTAGAGGGAACATTGCTTGGAACCCTCTTTTATATTGTAATTTTGACTTCACCTAACCGTCTATGCATGTGTATGAAGGTGTCCCCTGCCTTTTCCTTATCTGTATTTCCATACCCCATAAATATTGGGGGACCCGTTTTTCCTATGTTATTTGTGGTTCCTCTTATTTTCATTAGCATCTATGCATAACATGTACACTCCAGTCAGGATATGTTATAAACAATGTGACAATAAGGTATCTCATGATCTTGAACAGTACATTGAGTTCCATTTTCTGCAACATCACCTGTTGGCACATCTTTCCAGTAGTCTTGTGACCTTACTGGCATAGGGTCATTCTTTGGTCACTCACTTATGTCAGGCATTCTTAAGCCTATGGCCTCATATGGCTGAGCTGAAATATTACAGGCCTCAGCCTAGGCCTTGCATTTCTGCTGTGCTTTACTTATATACTTAATCCATACTGATCACTCCTAAATACTTATCAACCTTATACTTCTATTATCCTACAACTGAAATCTATTTAGCATACATTAGTTCTTCTTCGAGTGATTGCTCAGGTGTATTCCACAGTAGGTGTGTGTACTTGCCACGTGCACTGGTGCTGGAATTTTTTCTCTTAGCAGTACCCATAGGGGGGGAGCACCGCTGCGACCCCTGGAATGGTGCCTCTATATCACGCTATAAGGGGAGCTGCGCACTCCCCTACCCTCAGTTCCTTCTTGCCGCTATTGAAGGTAGTCGGAACTTCGTGCTCCAGCCTAGCTGTAGCTCTTCTAGTTAGCCTTAGTAGTACACGTCTTCTTCAATAGTTGAATAGCTTCTTTAGTTAGTTGCTGGGCTTGGGGCATGCCCCGTGCCCCAGGCTTCAAGTCGTGCGACTCCTGTCGCAATTCTATGCCAAGAAGTGACCCACACACTCAGTGTCTCCGCTGCTTGGGTGAGACCCACGTAAGTGAGTGCTGTAAGATCTGTAGATCGTTCAAGCCTCGGACTAAACGTGAGAGAGATATCTGGGCCCTGCTAATGGAATCTGTGCTGGCCCCGGCACCGGTGCGCCGACCCGACTTGGCGCCGGGCACCACATCCTCAGTGCGGAGTGAGGCTCCCTCCACCAGTCGGCACCGCTCAACCACCAAGAAGCAGGGAAAGACTCAGAAGTACTGAGAGAAAGACAGGGGTGAGGCCGGA